AAAGTGATGCACGAATGAACCACCACTGTTCGAAATCTTGCTTTCGGGTCTCTTGAACATGGATGGAAGCGCGTTGCCGGCGTGCCATGTACGAAGATTATGGTTAAGCGGCCTTGCCTGCTGTGTCCCACTTCGGTGTTTATTTTTGGTTGTCGCGCACCCAAAGTAACATCAGGATAGATGCATATCCCAGAGTATAGGTGTTTTAGCGCGCTTGCGGTGAGCAAACCGCTTTCTACGCCAGTTGAGAATTCTAATATTACTCGAGTACGTACGGGTTCTCCATAGTATGGCGAGTGCTGTTGACGAGTAATTCGTAATAGGTCTGTGAGCTTGGCTTCGACACTCATCATCACGCACAATTAGTTCCATTGGTCTTGGTCGTCTGATTACTTATTTCGCAATATTGTAGCGAAAACGACACGACAGGGGGGTAGACGTTTATTGCACACCGAAAATGGGCACACGAGGGTCTCGCGCGCGCCATCGAATATCGACTAGATTTCCGTCTCACAACGCAACACAGGTACGGATGTTAGAGACGAGCCAGTCCTTTCGCCTCGGGAGCTCTAACTTGGAAGACCCGCCTTCCTGTTTTCGCCTCGATCTCCACTTCTCTGTACCCGATTTGGATCGGCCAGGAGTCGTTCGAGAGCTCTCGACTTGCTGGTTCTGGGCTGTGTCAATCGGCTCGGCGTCGGTCCTGTGGGCTGCGCTAGCGGCGTATATGTCTGATTTATTGCGCTGTCCACATATTCCCGCTCCGTAGTTCCGGGCCCAGGCTGGTCGCTAGCTGTCTTTCTCGATCCGCTCTCAGCTAACTCTTAAGAGCTCCCCCGAGGCATTCTTGGAAGCGGCCCCTCTACAATATGATGGCGGTAGATTCAGGGACGTTTGAGCAAACAACAGTCCGTGCGCTATTGTTGGATCCTTTTTCGTTGCTCTATGAAGTATTGTACTTGTTCGCCCTGACCTGCTGACAAGTGTTTATTGTTTGCTGTTTGTCCTTCGAATCGCGTTAACGGTGTTTACAAGAGAAGAGGCAGCAATGGCAGCCTCCCGGTGGATCTTCGCAGCAATTGCTGCATTGGTACCTGATGTTCCAGGGACCTTTTCTGGACATGCGACGTTAGAGCTACAGGTACAGAGGGTTGCTGTTAGGCTGCTTCATGCTGCTTAATGTTAGATGTCAGGACTAGTGGAAGTTGCTTAGCCAGATGTTTCGAGTGGTGCCTGAGTTTGGTTGCCATGAATACCGTTCGACGCTTGTAGGTACGGTCAGTTTTCGCCCGATGTTCTACTAGTTGAAGAAGACAACGGAGATGGGAAAGTGGATGAATGCAATTCAGGGGAAGCGGACTGTGCAACATTCCGCTGCTTTAAAGCCTCTGGTACATACTGGCTTTCAGTAAATTAATCGTAGCGTTTATCTTCTGCTTGGCTTCTGCGGTTAACCGGTCACACTACTGAACTAGGATAAGCAATCACGCAATACCGAACCAGCCTGCATCCTGTGAGATATTTCGCTCTAGTACCTTGGTAGGGGCAAATTTGCACATTTCGGATGACACCATTCCGAACAGTACGAACACGCCAGAGCGGTTTTAACTACTCCATGTGATTCTTTTAACTCGCAAATGCATTTCGCTTTGTGCGTTTTCAAATTCGCATATCTGCCAGTCAATGTGGTGTCCTTACCTGTCCAAGTAACTTGGTTAGCCTTCTGTACCTTTATAGCTTTAAGAGTGGAGCACCTTGGTCAGGCGAGCGTAGTGCTACCAGGTCAGAGGAGCGGTCGGACTGTTCGCTCGGTCCACGTGATGGGTTATGCATGTGCACTGCCTTACAAGATCATAATGCATGACGAGTGACTGGAACCTGCTAACTGCATCTGAACTTAGCGCTGAACACAGCTTGAGAGATCACCACAGCTGTGTTGCGAAATGCCGGATCGGAATAAGCTTAGGCTTTTCGGGCTGCTTGAAAATTATCGTCCACTGAAGTAACCCAGGAAGGCACTCGGCTCAAGGTGCTTGAGGTATCCGCTCTCGCTTAATCACGGATGCTCGTGAAAACCCTCAGCGTTAGCACGGACTCTAATCGTAGAAGACATTTTCACGTATGATGAAGCACTGTGTAGGGCTGTTAAGTCCAGTTTGAATGAGCATACAGTGAGAAAGCTGCGAGCAGATGGAGGGAGGATAGCGAGGAGTAGTCCAAATGAACCAGAAGCACGCACATAGCGCACGAGTGCAGCAGGCATTGACGATGGGAAATTAATGTGAATGCCTTAGCTTTCCAGGTTAATCTGAAATTGCTCAGTTTAAGCATATGGCTGAAAACGCAAGTCATCTTCAAACGTCCAGTTTACAGCTTTCACATTGAGCGCCGCCTCTGCCTTGATGACCAACGCAGCAGTCATAACTAAGCAGCGCGTAGCCAGGTAAAGTTGCTATATCGCCGCGAACTTCGGGTACAACCATTCAGTAAAAGCATAAATGTAGGGACTGATTTGCATACACGTTGTTCTGTCTCGTGGCTTAGGCTGAGCACATAATTGTGAAATACCTGAATAAACTTGAAGCCGTTACGCTCCGTCAGGACGGGACAGGACCCTGAGACGAAACAAGCTTCCACACAAGGTGCGCCACGTTTCGTGTGCCAGTAAGCGTTAAAGAGGCCTCAACAATACGCCTTGATAGAATATTCCCGTTTCTGTAACGGTGAAAAACGGAAGCAATTGCAAGTCGAACAACACACTAGCATGAAGTAATGAGCTTAGGGACAGGCACTGAAGCTCAAGGAAATTCAGGAAACAGAGCCAGCCAATGTTTGTCTGGGCCACGAATAAATTCCTTCACATTTTCGCATGCTAATAGAACAAACGGGTCTACACCAAACAGGCACAGCACGGTTGGCCAAGAACCTGGTTCTTAACTCCAGCCTAGATCTACGCTGCTTCGATCCCTCGCAATGGTCCGTCGTGTAATGTCCGTTCGGATTCTGGTGTGGCGGTACTCGATCGCCGGCTGACCTGCTTTTCTTTCTGCAACTAGCGACCTGACATGATGCGAACAAGGCAAGGCAGCAATTAATCCGACTCAAGAGTACGTTATGCAGCAGCAGACCAGAAATGTTACTCCCATTATTTATTACGTGAGCACGACCCTACGTATAGCACTGTGTGCAAGCCTGGGCGCTGAATCTCAGCAAATAGGTGCCCCACGTAGGCACCATTCGAAAACTGATGACTAGAATGGTTAACGGCCAGTGCGAAATGTACGGTGCGGCCGATCTCGGGTGCTGAGGGCTTCGTTTCCGGGACGTACGTGGTCTAATTATACCGAGGAAGGGGTTGAAAGCAAAGAAAATATTGCGTAGGCGGCTGAAAAAGCACCTAGTAAATGTCGGGGCTGGACGGACGGTGTGCTTGTGTTGAAAATCGTGGCTAGCTTTGCTGTATTGCATAGCTGCAGCTAGCTGACCGAGCGCTCAGCGAATAGAGGAATGGCGCGAAAACGCCCATGAGAGACAGTGGCTCTAGCCATACGAAAGGCAAAATATTAAAGCAAAGCGAAGAGGAAAGGAGGAGAACTATAGACGGTACGCTGGACGACAACTTACTTTTTGACACTACGGTGACAAGCTGAGTCGGGGAATAATATGAAGGACGCCTAAGAGGCCGAGAAACATTATCCATGGAGTGGCGCAGAGTAAGAGGTGACCTGATAGAGGCATTCAAGATTATATAGGGTCGATTCAAGATCAAGCTCTCCGCTTTCTTGAAACGTTACATCCGACATCGGTGGGGTCGAACTCCCCCGTGTATCTAGCCAGTTTGACTTAGGCGTCGTGCACTCTTCGGCTTTACACTCCGGCGACAACTGGAAGAAGGCCGCAAGCAGAAGTTTCCGCATGTTGTGGTTAATCCGACGTTCTTTCGGAGCCTTGACGGGTGGCATCTTTACGATGCTGTTCTCGGCTTTCGTTCGGCCTCATCTGGAATACTGCGTCCAGGCTTGTCCGCCATGCCTCGTCCGGGACAAAATGGAGCTGGAGAGGGTTTTACGAGTGGGTACTAGGTTAGTCGAGGGATTACGGGGACGGACGTACCCCGAGCGTCTACTTAGTTTGGGAATGCATTCTATGCACTACAGAAGGCTTAGAGGAGACCTAATCCTAACCTACCGTTTCTTGACTGGGAAAGGTTGGTCCAGATTTATCTTGGCTATTCAGTCCCGCTAGATTGTCTGTTCGTTCATTCGTTGAAGCTGGACAAACCGCGGTCTGATCGGATTAGGGCGGAAATCCGGCTGTCACGCAGAGTCATCGACCGCTGGAACATGCTTCCGGAAAATGTTATCAGGGAATCTACGGTTAAGGGGTTTGAGCGGCAACTTGACGCTCTTGGGTGGCAACACGAAACCTTTCCATTTTCCTGAGTAACTCGCATCTTCGTACTTCGATTTTCTTTTCTCTACTTTTCTTCACGTATTGGTATTACTTTCTTATTTAAGTTCGCTTCCCTATTCTGCACCTTCGATTTCTCTTCCTGTCCTTTGCTTACTTCACGTGACTGCCACAGCAGGGACTGCTAGGGCATGAAACGTGGGCATTAACTGGTTGGCCAGGGTGCGATACTGGAGTTTCCGTTTTAGATCCATCAATAACTGTGCACTTCATCAGTTTCTAGCTCAACGATCCACTCAAGCTGGAACACTCACGGGATTCTCCTATCGTTCCAGTCCCAATCTGAAATGTACTGAACTGAACTGACCACCTACGGGGGTATGAACTTAAACTTGAGCATCGTGATTCTAGGCAGCGGATACGGGCCGGTCTATGCTAATCGTCTTCTTCATAATTGAAACACACTTCGTTCTACCTTAAATGACAGTGCCACTGATTTGCTTCCTGGTACAAGAAACAGCACGTTCGTTAAGCGGGTGTATAGCTTCGGCCTTGAAAACGGGTTGACTTAATTTAAAGTGTTGGCTATTTGTCTGTGTTATCCTACACAGACACAACTTTGAAACTGGTTAACGCGCTTTGCAATTATTCGGATGGTAACTGACTCTACCTTCATATCTTTGTATAGTCCAATTGTTTTACGTCCTACGCCGCCGCCGTTTTAACCCCGGATTTTGAGCATGTTTGCTCCGATCCGTTTGGGGGGTAAACATTTAAATGTCGGTGCTTGTTGCGGTCTTCTCACGTTCGGGATACTTTTGTTCGCATGGATCGTGGGATTTAGTATCAGGTTATTCTCGGTTATTAGATTTGAGAGCGTTATACATGAATTCGATCCTTGGTTTAACTATCGGGCAACGAAGCAAATGGTTGAGAGCAGTTTCAGCTCCTTTTACAATTGGTTTGATAAGACTGCATGGTACCCCCTGGGTCGGATCGTTGGTGGGACTGTATACCCAGGACTTATGATCACCTCTGGTAATTTTTGCCGTCCTCGCTATTGCAGGCTTTATTCATTTCCTGTTTCATCTATTTCATATCCCTGTCCACATCCGGGAAGTCTGCGTGTTTCTGGCCCCTTTCTTTAGTGGGATGACCTCTGTGGCCACTTATTTATTTACGAAGGAGGTTTGGAACAAGGGTGCTGGCCTCTTCGCTGCTTGCTTCATTGCCATCGGTATGTTCTTCATTTGATTAATTTTAAACTTTAGCCCCCGGATATATCAGCCGTTCTAGCGCTGGGAGCTACGATAACGAAGGAATCGCTATCTTTGCTCTAATGTTCACGTATTACTTGTGGATTAAGTCGATCAAGTCAGGATCAGTTTTGTGGTCTGCTGGATGCGCGCTGGCTTATTTCTACATGGTGTCAGCCTGGGGCGGTTATGTGTTTATTATCAACCTTGTCCCGTTGCACGTGTTTGTCCTTCTTTTGATGAATCGGTACTCCGTGAAAATTTACGTGGCATACACAACATTCTTCATATTGGGTCTGCTGATGTCAATGCAAGTTCCTTTCGTTGGTTTCCAGCCTCTGAGAACCAGCGAACATATGGCCTCCGTTGGGGTGTTTGCCCTGTTGCAGGTCAGCTCTTATTCTGTACCACTTGCGATATAATACCTACCTTTTGGGATGCACACTTTCACCGCATTGACGTTCATACTGTTCCAATCGATTGCACTTTTCTACCGCGTACTACTGATTGTAGCCCCTCTCAACTTCCAATTTTCTTCTGGCTTGCCTCTGCCGACGGACAATCCGTTTAGTTCATTCCTGATTTTTACGTTGGCACTCAAGCCGCTGGTACATGATTGCTTTTAGACCCATTTGCCGATAACTGGTTTGTTAGGTCGTCAGTTTTATCAGCCCCATCGATTCCTTACAATTGCGGTAGGTCGAATTTGTTCGAACTCTGGTTTAGTTCCTTTCCTCATTTATGTTTTGTCAGTGTAGCGTCGGTTGACTTTCATTTTTCGTACTATACATGTAGGATACAGATCTGACAAACGAATTTCTAGTTGTGCCAAATTTCCATCTTGCAGATTAAATTTCTAGAACACTGACTTCGGTTTACTGTTCATCAACAGTACAGCATGATACTTTGTTTGGTATTCCAACTTATCGCTTAGGTAGATTGCATCAGCTATTGAAGTGTCTGGATTTTCGGCTAGATTTATCAACCAATACAGAAACGATGATGCACAAAAAATCGATTCGTCCCAGTTTACATTGATTTGGTGATCCAACGAAACAGACAAGCGTGAATAAAATCGAAGGAATGTAACGGGACGCATTTGTAATCTTTCCCATATGGACCGCATTTGGACACAGGGACTTGACGGTATAATCAGGATGCTGCGCTCAAGAACTGGCTTAGCTGCTGTATAGATCCGCTAAATAAGCATGGTTCTTCGTGCCTTTCTTCAGGAGATTTGCCATTTCAAAGTGCAAGCTCTTGCCCACACGTCACTGTTTCTCACTTCCATTCGAGATCAACTGGAGGTGGATGCTTAGTACGACGATTCAGGCAGTTGTATCACTTTCGTTGGCGCTTAGATCTAGAAGCTGAATGTGCACAGCTGTCAAGCCAAAGTGGCTTCTCCAATTCATATTCTATAAGATTATGACTTAAAAACCCGTAGATTAAACTAGGATGTAACACTGCAATGCTTCAGCTGTTGATCTAAGTATCGAAGCCATAGCCACTGCTCGTTGATTACTTCATGAGATTTGTTGTTTTCGGGTTTCGATGCCCGTGTAAAGTTGACCTGATGTTCCTCAATTAAGTCTTAGCAATAAACCGTACGCTGCAATGCCAGTCACTCTGTTTTGATTCGGTCACTTCCGCTGGCCTTGTCACGCCGTTCGTACGTCTATTAGTTTTTTCCGGACACCAAGGTTTGATAGAGTCCCATGGTGACCTGTGAATAGGATGGAAAGGGCCTGGGTGGTTTAACGTGGTTACTTTATGCAGTCTCAGGTTTGCGGATTCGAGACGTGTCACGTCAGTTTCTAAGGATCTTATCCATCATCATCAACAACAAGGACCTTATCCGAAATGGTACGGTTGTTAACCGATCACACAAGCGTATTCCATTTGGTTTTTTGTTAATAAACTCCTCTCTCGACCGATGGGTTTATGTATGTTCACTTGTTTTTCTTTTTGTTACTCCTTCTTTTGTTATCTTGACGGCTTGAGTCGCTGCACTCCCTCCCAATGCTTCCCACACCCCCATAGTTTACAAACGGCTAAATTGATAGGCCGTACGGCCACATGTTTGCGTGATGCAATCAATCGTTATTAGTGAATTTTCGATAGTAGCAGCTTAGTCCTATGACTGTTGGAAGTACGTTTTGGATTAGTAAGCGCTTCCCGATGCTACTCCAGCGCATGAGGATATCTTTAGTGTCACGATGAATCCAAACCCTAATGTAGTACGATAATTTGCGTTATTCCATGCAGCATGGTGCTGAGTCTCCACAAAGTTTCCCTTGCCTAACATGCCAGTGCTTGATTATCGAACAAGTTCAGTTTCAGTACACTACTCACATGGGGATTGTGTGGGATTAACTGTATTTTCTTAGTAATGCTTGGCCACAAGCAATGAGTTATATCGGCTCTATTAGCATAGAACACAAACGCCGCTGACTGTTTCCCGCAGTTAGAGAGTAAGGCTATTGCTTACTCGTTTGTTGTCGGCTATCTCAAACCAGACAGCTTTCACTAACTCAGGTAAGCTCACCACGACCCTCCGGCGGCTGGCCGTGGTTGCAGGCATCTCGTCTACTGTGGTCTAGAAAAAAGTGAATTGTTCTGAGCCTACCCGGAGATGTGTGGTGTGATGGTTCACGGGTTTTACCTAAAACATTTACATTTCTGAATCGTTTCTCCACTCCTGTACACGTTTCCGCAACTATGCGGTACCTTGAACCGCCTACAACTGCGTACACTTATTTGGTACCGAAACAGTACTTTCACGGTTTTGTCTCCGACTTTTCAACCAAACACCAGAGTTGAGCACTTTCATGGAATAGAATGCAGTAAGCTTTTATGAATACACAGGACTTCACAATCAATTATCACCCTTAGTTTGCCATCCTTTACATTCGCTTCCCGCTCTTGTTAACCAACAGGACCTACACCCTAACTTCACTACTTAATCCGGCTGTGCGCATAAACTGATTTCTCTATCGCAACGAGACTGATCTTTAACGTGTTGCGACGGTTTGTGTGTCCCGTCGACCCATTAAGCTAAACTAATTGGGGCTCTTGGGCCTCTTGAGAGCTACTTCGACCAGGTTGGTCAATGGTCGGATGGACGCAGTCTCCTGGTCCTCCAGGTTGTGGGTTTGAAATGAGATGACGACCATTTCTGAAAAACTGAATCGTTACCACACTGCCTTGTGAACAAACTTCTTAGTCAAAGGCTTTGGTTGCGGGTCATAATCGTTCTGTTTAGGTCCGGGCGCCCTACCACCATCCACAGCACAACCACATCTTGCATCTGTCGTCGCGCAGCTTATCAAGCGTTGCCTTATCTGCTGCACATAGCAAAGCGAATAAACGAAACATGCAACTGTTGTCGCCTCCCTTCCTTTTTTCCACTGTTTCTCTTACTTTCTCCAAGCCCCATTATTAGCCTTCTGTAATTCTCCGTTTACTTGTTGGTAACCGCAATGTCACTGGAGTCATACGGTCTGCAGCTACCTTCCCACACCATCCACTGGACATCACTCACCAACAGTCCTGTTTCCTTGGCGGCGTTTAACATTCGCACTCTTTGACCACTAGGTCAACAGACTGCACTCGCATGCATGTTTGGCACACTTAGTATTGACGTGTACAGTGTGTCCAAAACTAGGATCAATGCATCTCACGGGATTAGTGAATTAATTGCGCCCGGCTTGTCCTCTTGCTATTGATTGAACGCATCCGGAGGCACTGGTGCGGCAACCACTGACCAAGCACGAGTGCGCATCGTTCTCAGCTTCCAGGCTGAGTCATCGTTGATTGATTAGATCCCCGTGAACAGCGGTTTGAGTGCACCCCGTTTAATGACATCAACTAAGGTTGGCTCACGAATTAGTAATAGACGCTGTTTGTCGTTGGTTTCTGCTTATGCCCCACCGGTTGCAGTTCTGATGCTGCGAAGGACGTCTTCTACCACGAACTAAACACGCTACTACACAGTGTTACTCGTTCAGATATCATTGTTGTTGCACAAGATATGCATGCGCAAGCAGGTCGTCGTAGCTCTACGGAAGCTCAGCTAGGTGGTAAGTATGAACATAACCCCGATCGGATGGACATCAGTGACGGTCTGTTACAGCTGTGCGCGATGCATTAGCTGTATTTTAGTAGTACCGCTTTTGCACACAGTGGGCGCCGAACTGCCACTTGTCTTTCATCCAAAGCTAGCCGGCGATGAACACAAATTGATCTCATCATAAGTTACAGACTAGACTATCGCTCGTTCTGGGGTACTTGCGTCCACTCTGATCATGCCTCGGTACCATGTTGTTTTTCCATGAACCTTACCGAGAGGCATACCAAGCGCCTCCATCGATCGGCAACTGAGAGCTTATCTCAGTCCTCGGTCTAGCACCGACTTTTCTTTCTCTCGTCCTAACAACACATCCTCAGTGGAATAGGATCTCGACCGCCATGCACGATACATGAGCCTCCGCTTGCGACGCTATCAGTCGTCACTGCATCAGCCACTGGGTATCCGAGTGGTCGGCGAACCTGTTGGAATTCTGAAGATTTCCTGGTTGTATCTAAACATAAAGTAACTAGGCGTTTAGGCACGAACTAAAGCGAAGCCTGCGTGCTGACTAGAAAGCCTGGTGGATTAGTGGGCTCACGAAATGGAAGAGACAGGAACAATAGGCAGTTATCACCAGTATTTTAATTAATCCCCATCACTGGTCCCAGGAAACCAGACGTCAACGAACCAACCAGACACTGCAGGTGCCCTGATGCACAGTGAGGAAGACCGTGTACCTCGTTGTGAAGAACACTTTCGCGAATTGTTCAGTTGGTCCCCTGCTTCTGGACCTCTTCGTACTCAAGTGATGCAGACTGAGCAATGGCCGGTTAGATTAGAGGCTCCATCGGAGGCTGGGGTTCGAAACGTGATCGCGGCCATTACTCCTCTTCGTGCTGCATGCTCGGATTCCCTGCCATCTGCACTATTTAGGGACGGAGGTGAGGTCCTCTGGAAAGCACTGACCATATTCGAACATATCTGGAAGGAAGAGCGTGTTTCGGCTAACTGGAGTGCATCGATTATAGTGACAGTCTACAAGAAGAGCAGTTGCACCGACTGTGCAAACCACAGCGGTAATACCCTAACGCCGGTGGTGAAAAAATTACTGGCTTCGGTTTTCTTTCGTCGCCTCACTGCGGAGGGAGGATCACGGATTAGGGAGAGCAGGCAGATTTCCGTCCAGGACGTGGCTGTATAGACCAAATATTCACTCTGCGACAGGTGCTAGAGCAGCGCCACACGTATTGCAGACCGACAACATCAGTGTTCCTAGAGTTAAATGTGCGTTTGTCTCGGTCTATCGATTCATTCCGT